GAGGCAGGAGCGGGGCCGCCGGGTGGGGGGGCCCTGGAGAGGGCAGGGGAGCTGGCCAGCTGGGCTGCTGGGCCGCCTCCCTTTGGGCATGTTTGACCCGCGGCCGGCGCTCCTTGTTCCAGTTTCATGCAGGCTCCTGGGAAAGCTGGTGCTGCTGCTTTCTGATTCCAGCCCACACACCTTGCGACCGGGGCGGGCTCTGGCGGCTGGAGATGGCAGACACGAGATCCGTGCATGAAACCAGGTTTGAGGCGGCGGTGAAGGTGATCCAGAGTTTGCCGAAAAATGGTACGTGCTCGGGGGGGCCCCGGGTGGACAGACCTCCCGCGGAGGCCTTGGAGGCCGCAGTTTCTGAACCTCACCTCTTGGTGATTCTCACCTCTTCTAATCTGTCTGCTTCTACTCTTGCTTATTTAACCCACTTCTTTTCTGCTTTAAAAGCAATGTAACGAAAGGGAGGCATTATATGTGAATTAATTCCTTCCTGATTTGTCAAGCCTGAGACAAATACGTTATCCAGACTTTGAGTACCTTATAGTGTTGTTGAAAGCAAAAGTCTTGTTATTTAATGACTGCGGATTTTGGTATGTTAAAAAACTGGCCTGGGAGCCTGGTGGCGCATACTCACAAAATCTACTATTTAAGCCTTTTGAAAACTTTGACATGAAGGGAAAGAAATGAAAGAACAAATACGGGCAGGGAAGGGCTGGGGGAGGGGGTTAATTGGGGGAAAAGGAGACATGTAAAACTTTACAATAAAAAAAAAAAGAAACTGTTTTTACAGACAAGATCAAACACAATACCTCCCAAATCTTTACAAATTAGCTATTCATAACTTCTTTCAATGCAATAGAACCAACGCCAATGTAACGTTTAAATATTTCCTGTATGATATACAATACTTTCAACAATAAAGATTTTTTGAATTAAAAAAAAAGAACAACTACGTTCATTTGTAAAACTATTTATTGTAATAAGTATATATATTTACTACTTTTTTTTGCTATTGTACTAGTTTCTCCTTATTATACTCATATTAGACCTGGGAGAAAAGTAATTCAGGTTGTTCTTTTGTATTTAATGTGTCATTTCTCTGGCTACTTTGAAGATTTTTCTCTACCTTTGATTTTCTGCAATTTGACTAGGATGTGTCTAGGTATGGTTTTCTTCATATTTATTTTTTTGGGGGTTTGCAGTACTGTTTGAATTTATAAGTTTATGTCTTTGACCGATGTGGGAAAGGTTAAGGCCATTATTCAAATTTTCAGGGTTTTGTGGTTTTTTTCTGTGGAGAAGCTTGGAGAGGGGGTCTTTTATTTTTCACTTCCTATCTTCCTGCAATATATCCTTCTGAAAAAAATAAACCTATATTTTAAATGATGCTTTTAAGTACTATTATTGTGACAGAATGTAATACTAACTGAATACAACATTAATGTATGATTATAGTATTTAATATCATGTTCTCTATTCTTATGAATCATCATTTGGCTGCATATTAAACATTCAACACCATTTAATAAAAATTAATTAAGTGCAGATTCAAAAAGTTTGGAAACAAATATACACAAAATTGTATTCTTCTTTTTAAAATATATTTTTATGGATTTCACAGAGGAAGGGAGAGGGAGAGAGTGATAGAAACACCAATGATGAGAACCATTGATTGGCTGCCTCCTGCACTTATCTGAGCATGTGCCCTTGACCGGAATCAAAACCAGGACCCTTCAGTCCTCAGGCCCACTCTCTATTCACTGAGCTGAACTGGCTAGGGCTAGTATTCTTTTTGTAATGTCAACTATCAAATTGGAGGAGGAAATATGGGAGATTGAAAGATAAGAGTGAGTGAACAAAATGTAAAGAAGTATTATAGGAACTTATTTAGGTACTGATTTTATAAAATGTCCGATTAAGAGGGCTTATAGAAAGGCATGATTCTCAGAGTTTTGTATAAGTTGTACCATCATCTTTTCTCCTAAACTACATGTTTTTATATATTTTTGAAAATTAATAAAGCTAGACTTAATGTCTATAGTCTACTACCTTTATTGACATTACATATTCCTTATTATTTTTTACTTTCTTTTTTATTTACATATCATTTATTAAGAAACCCACGTAAATGTAAATAAAGTTTCTATTAAATAATATTTAAGAAGATATTGCAGTTAAGATATCCTGCCAAATGGCACCTGTGTTGGACAATGTTCAAAATACTGTTATCTTCTGAAAGGAAATTGATATTGAGACAAAAGTAATGAATTATTATTTACTTTTAAATTGTTTGGTTTGCCCTGGATTGTTTTTCAAAGAGTAAGATCATGTATATACTAGTACATATACATATTTATATCCCATACTAGAGGCCTGATGCACGAAATTCATGCAAGGGTAGGCCTTCCTTCCCCCAGCTGCCAGCAGGCACCCAGGACCCGGGCTTCCCTCGCAGCCCCGGCTTTGTCCAAAAGGCCGTTGGAAGGGCGTCCAGTCTAATTAGCATATTATGTTTTTATTATTATAGACTAGAGGCCCAGTGCAAAAAAATTTGTGCACTGGTGGGGGGGCCCTCACCCTGGCCTGTGCCCTCTCGCACTCTGGGACCCCTT